GACCGGTACCGGTCCGCGGACCGGTGGTTGGGGACCCCTGGTGTAAGCAACATGCAAAGGACACCGTTTCCCAGTTAGCTGGCTCACTATACTTAACAGTCTTTTTTCCCCAGCTTTCTTTTACAGTCTCAGAAATAACGTTAGAGCTTCCCTGATTTAGGTTGTTTTTTTTTTTTTTTTAATGTGACTGTGGCACCCTTGGATTTTGAAGCTTTTCATATTGAAAGGTCTTCCTTTTGCAAGCATTTTTCTTCTTACTTTCAGACACAGATTTGACTCTGGTCATTGGTGCTAATGATACCGTGAACTCTGCAGCACAAGAAGATCCCAACTCCATTATAGCTGGCATGCCTGTATTGGAAGTTTGGAAATCTAAACAAGTAAGTGACAAGAAGAAACTGAGAACACAGGGTTGCGATTGTTCCTTCATTAGAGCAAAGAATACCTAACCCACAATGTAAAAAGAAAGGGGTCTTTGTCCACAAATATGAAAATGTTGCCTTCACAGCAGTGTGAGCTATTATTATAATACTTGTTTTGATGTCATCAAATCCTCCAATTGACACAAGGTGCAGTTTCACTGGAAGAAGGAATGATTCTAGCATCCAAGGGACAGCACAACAGAAAGTTTGTTGATAATGCTGTCTTGGCAGTAGGGTCAACAGTTATGTTGGCTAGGAAATGATGACAGCTGAACTCAAAGACCTCAGAAAAACACTGAGTTGGGAAGAAGGAGGAGGATATTTAATTAGACAATAATCTAAATGAGAATGTACTGCTATCTGTTGCTGGAGAATCTGGAAAGCGCTCTAGAAAATATGCCAGTATAATAAGCAAGATTTTGCATTTAACAGCCATGCATTCTGATCCAGCTGGGCCCTGCTTATGTCCTTATGATTATATGGTGGCTGCTTTTTGCTAAGCAGCAGGATATGAAATATTGTATTTTTAGAATTCAAGCAATGAGGAAGAATTGAGGGGAGAGAATAGGCTTAGTCATGAAAGATGATTGATGGGGTATAAGAGAGCATTGTTCAAATATCAGAAAGAGGGGTGGAAGCAGGTGAAGTCTTGCTCTTCATTATCCTACTGGGCAGGACATAGAACAATGTAGTTAAATTACAGGAAGGCAGGTTCAGGTTGAGTATTGGGGGGAAAATGCAGTAGAAATTCCTCATAGTAAGAGCCACTCAACAACACTGGAACCAATTACCAAAGTCATCTGCTTGGAATGATTTAATTGACATTAATTTAATTCAATTTTATTTAATTCCTACCCTGGCAGGAGTTTGGACTCACCCTAATGGTCTCTTCTAGCTTTATGATTTTATAATATTAATATGCGAATTTCTGTCCTTCATTCTTGCCTCAATGAAAAATCTAGACTTTTGTTAAGTCTTTTCTACACATCCTTGCATTGGTGTTGGTGTAAACCTCATTTAAAGGTTTAACCAATTTGCATACTGTACACTTCTTAAGAAGGCAGGCTATGTTTTTAACTAGCTTTTTCGAGTAAAGGCAAGAAACAGTTGAACTCACTCTTATTATGTAATTTGGTTTCTCCACCAGGTCATTGTCATGAAACGCACCCTGGGAGTTGGGTACGCTGCAGTTGACAATCCCATTTTTTATAAACCAAACACTTCGATGTTGCTTGGAGACGCAAAGAAAACCTGTGATGCTTTACAAGGCAAAATTCGAAATTCTTTTAGCCATTAGTGCTTCCGGTCATTCTAAGACATCATCCAGTGACGAAAGTGTTATTATGTACCTTTTGATTGTGTTTATTGAAGACCTTGAAATCAATGGACCTTCTAACTAGCTGGTGCCTATTATTTGTATCCTTTGAAAATGGACTTACCTCTTATGTATATACATTGTTAGAAAGATAAATAAGAGAATCTAACTCATATGAGAAATGAATGGTTTTTCTGTGTCTTTATATGGGTGAAAATTCTATCTGTCCATCCATACATGCCATAATCTACTTGTTTCTCTAACATTGCTATGACATTTTCAACCTGTACAATAAAAGAGAAAAGTGATAATTTCTGGGCCAGTTGTAGTCCTCTGGAGAGGACATTCCCTCACCACAGAGAAGGATCTTGTAGAGGAAATGGTGGCTATGGATCTAGATCAGAGATCTCCAAACTTGGCAACTTTAAGACTTGTGGACTTCAATTCCCTATGCTGGCTGGAGAATTTTGAGAGCTGAAGTCCACAAGTCTTAAAATTGCCAAGTTTGGAGACCTCTGATTTAGAGTTTGACTTGTCTGCTCTAAGGTGTAATAGTGATAGCTTGTGAAGATGAAGTGGCAGGATGGTCAATCAAAGCACAGCAATGGACGGGCTTGGAGAACAGAGATTTGGGAAGTGCAAGTTGAAGACGAGGTCTGAGGGGCTTCAGACTGTCAGACTGGTAATACTTCTCCTGTTAGGAAGACAGATGAGGAATAAAGTTTAAAAAGTGGCTTTGCTAGAAGAATTCAAAGTGCCCCTGTTTAGCAACAGAGATGGAACTCTCAGGAAATACCAGAATGCATACATTGGAAGTGGCCTTCATCATTGCACAAAACCACGATGCCCTTCTCTTGATGGTGGAAATAACATTAGTAATTATTATTATTATTACTATATAGTTCTAATAATAGAACTATGGAAAATAAAAGCATTAGTGGTTGTTGTTTTTAGTTTATTAAATAGATGACTCCAAAAGGTATTTATCATTTGAATTACATATGCAGCTTTATAGAACATGTAAGATTTAAGATGCGTGATCCATCCTCTAATGTGCTTTATTGTAGCTTCTATGCATGTTTGATTACAGCTAGGTTTATATCTTATAGGAAGAAATGCATATTTTGCCTTGAACTTCTTAAATTGTTATTTTGCTACAATCTTAGGAGCAAATGATCTGCTCCTGTGCAAGGAAAGCATAAACACCAATTCTTATGCTGGCTTCCATAAATAAAGCCGAAATTTAAAAAGGACTGTAATATCTAGAAGTATTAAGCAAGATAACTCATGGTATCTTCTGGACATCACAGGCCATTTGTGAGCTTTTAATCAGGACTGCCAATTTTTCATGGCACCAATTTTATTTGTTAACATTAAGCATTATAATAGGTGCCTTAATCTCCCATAAATTGTAATGTGCTCATTACAAAAAACTCACAAAAACGGAGGAAATATTTGTCATGTCCCTTGTAGGTTGGGAAACACCCTTCCTCACTCTCCAGAAACTAACCTCTGGTATAAAAATGTCAACTTTTTCTGAAGTTTGCTATACAGCAAAAGTAAGAATTCTGGGGGCTGAATTCCAGATCTACCCCCCATAGGTGTTAAAGGTGCCAAGATTGGATACCCGTTTTAGAAGAAAACCTTGGTTCAGACCTATAAGCAACCAGCAGCAGAACCTAAATTTTCTAACCTTATTTAAGCAATTCGGCAACTTAATTCAGTCCTAATCATGTTTACTGCTAGTATCCAGCTGAACATATTAGTCTGGCTCCTTTTGGGGGTGGAATTTGGAAGTGGAATAATGAAACATAATGAAACAAATGAAGTTTCTGCTATCTTTAAATACAAACTTCAAAGTGATAATTTTATTGTTCAATAAATAAGAAAAAAAATATTTCTATTTAGATGTCACAAGTCCAGATTTGCTTCAGACAATCTTCTTCCCTTAACAGTTTTAAGCTTTGTCTGCGTAAGTTTGGATTTCGTTTAAATTTAAAAGACAATAATTGTAAATATTCTATCTTGTAAATCAGTTTCAGTCATTCAAATCCTAATTAGTTTTAAAGGATAATGGATCACATTTCTTTTGGGACATTTGCATGAGGAACACTTCACTTTTCTCCTGAAGAATCCTTGGCTTTCCTGATCAGCTTGTACATAAATGAGAAGAAAAAAAGCAAATTGTCGTATTGTCCATCATAGTTTTCTTTTAAGACCTCCTTGTGATAGTCTACTAGAAAGTAATAAATTGCTTCAATGGTAGAGAGGTAGGTTTCTGGTTTTCCTTTCTGATGGCGCCAAAAGAAGGTTTTCTTAGATTTCAGCTCAATTTGTAGCAACCCTGCAGAGTGAAGAAAACCAAAGATGACAATGTAGGCATTTAATTACACAAAAGACTGAAAAAACTTCTTGTAGCAAATAGTTAACAGGTTTCTCCAAATCATTACAAACAAGGGTAAGCCTGATTAAGACATATGTAGGCAGATTTATTCGGTAACTTCCATTATATTTTCAAAGCGTGGCTAGATAAGTCATCTCTTTTTCTCTAAAACCCTTTCTTTCCTGAAATGCAGCAATATCTGACTGGAGTACAAAAAAGTTTATTATACAGCATTGCAGTGCACTAGTTTTGGAAAAGCAAAACTTTTGGGAGAAAAATAAGAGTAGAAAGGAGGTATTTATTCCTGGTAACAGCTCTCCGCTATATCTAGAACAATTCCCAAGATTCGTTTCCATTCAGAAAAATAATACCTTGAAGCCGTTCATCTGTGATTATTTTGTTTGTCTGATTCCATGTACTGTCGATAAACACAATTTTTTTCAGGGCATTTTCACTCTTGGACAATCTATCTTCACTCATGCTTCTACTGTGACTTGGCTCCAATTTTGCACACTTGGGCGCTGGCTCTGCTGACAAGCCCTTGGTCTTACATTTTGCTTGCAAAGAGAGAGGAATGTTGCTTATTGAAACTGAATCAGGTCCAGGAAAAATAAGTGCAATCTAAAAATGGGGCGAAAAAACCTTCATGAGATCTAGCTTAACCTCAACCACAAGGCAAACCCTATTTTTCCCAATGAATCTGCTTTAAAAATAGTGCTTCCACCATTATTTCTGAAAAGACGATCTGTGTAATATTTACCAACAACATTGTTTAAACAAATCTGAGAAAATGTTAAAACCCTGCAAAACTTTTGGGCTGACATGCTGATCTACCCTCTTAGGAATATTTTCTTTGTTATTTTGGCTTTAGGCCATCTGTACAGGTAGTCCTCTCTTACTGACCGCAATTGCAACCAGTAACTCCATCACTAAGAGGTTATCACATGCAACATACCATGACTGTGACTTCCTGCCGGCTTCCCCATTGACTTTTCTTGTTGGAAGCTGCCTATGAAAGTTGCAAATGTCGATCACATAACCATGTGACGCTGTGGCTGTTGTAGATGCATGTTGACCCCATGTTCTGACCCACGCCCTTTTCCAACAAATCAAACGCAATCCAAAAGGAACAAAAATCTTGTAATGCTTTTACAAAATAATTAGCTGTGATAAGCTGTGCAAGACTTGCCAAAAGATAACAGACAAGAAATACTTTGCAATACAAAAATCTTCAACTACAAACTCAGGATACTGGAATGTCCATGAGGCTGGAGTTTCAAAACGTCTTTGCCTTCTGCAAAGTACGTTTGTTTCACAGCTGGCTTTTGTCTTCTTGAAGGAGGGGCCATTACCTTGCAACCTTACTGCCGAGTCGCCTGTGGTGCTGCAGCTGCTCTCTCCTGCGAGCAGCCCTGCACTCACACACACTTGGCACAGGCTCCTCGGGAACCTCTTCATCGCTGCTGCCAGCCCCCACAATCTCTGAAGGCAGCAGTCCACTCCCTAATGGTCCTGGCCCCTCATCTGAGTCCTCGCTCTCCTCAGCCGTCCACACCTGCTGCCGGCTAACCACAATACCCCAGGGACAGAGCAAGAACAACAATTTTTGAGGACCAGTTGTAAATCACATTTTTTAGCAGCTTCGTACCTCTGAATGGTTACAGAACAAGTGCTTAGTAAGCGAGGACTACCTGTACTCTCAGGGAAATTCTTGCAAAAATGCTTGTACTCTAAATAAATAAGCCAAGAGGGGAGCTCACTTCTGTGAATACAAATAAGCAAAAAGTCCTACTTTATGAATTCCTGGATAAATACATTGATTATTTGCTCTTATACATGCAAAACAATGCTGAGCACAGTGTATATTTAACAGCAGCAATCATGGCAGTGAGAAACACAAGGTTTTCCTATGGTGCTACACATAGACAGACTCTTACTTCATGTTGCATTTCTTCATAGTCAGGAATACACGGATATGTATAAATGGTAACATCCTCAGAGGCCAGAAGCTTGGCATGTACAGCTGTACTTTTGCCATCCGTTTCATTGGGATGCTTGATTATATCAATCTTCAAGGGAAGCTTAAACAAAGAGCCCAGAAAGTGCATCAAAAAGACACCCCCAAATTCAACCATAAATATATACATTTGCTCAACCATGCATTCCACTCTGGATATCAGAGTATAATACATGTTTTGCACTGGTTACAACTCAAATTTTCAGCAAAATAATCAATGGGAAAGGACAAAAATACCATGAAATTGAATAATACAATGGAAAAGAAGCTACTATTTGAATGACTTAAAGGCTGCCTTTGGGGCAAGTTTAGGTAGACATCTTTTCCATCATTTTTTTCAGCAGGGGTGGGGGCCTATGGTCTCTTTATGACCTGTGGACTTCAACTCCCAGAATTCCTGAGCCAGCATGTTGTAAGTGCGTGCTGACCCCAGGGACGCTGCAACAGCCGCAACTTAGTAATCCCTGAAAACCATGGCTGGCTCAGGAATTCTGGGAGTTGAAATCCACAGGTCATAAAAAGGCCTACCTGTTCTAGAGAGATGCCAATGTTTGGACAGGAATCTTGGCTAGGAAAACTGTCAAGTGGCACTGGGCTACTGTAACCTGTTTTTACTTTCACTATAGCTGCTTTATGGTCATGGAACTTATTATGAAGTTTTTGGCACAAAAGACAAGATTAGGTTAAACTCCACCTTTATATTTCATCTATTAAAATGACTTGCTGGGAAATTTGATATCAAACGACGGAAGACACTGTGACCTTTCCCGCCCTCCTTCAGATCCCCTGCACTAACCTTCACAATAGGAATATCTTCAACAGGAACTGTTTCAACTGGAACATAACATGAATAACAGTAGAACATCCTTGATCCATGACATCTGGGGCATTTTGATCTTCCTTGTTTTTGGGCTCTCTCAAGAACAGCTTGAGATGTCAGACACAAGCTGTCAAATGGGGTTTCTTGTAACATGGATGCGGCCAGTGTATCTTGATTTTGCAAACACTCAGCATTTCTTTTCATTTCCTGGTTCATCTTGGTCTGCTTTTTTAATGGGAGATGAATTTAGTGATATATTTCATATGAATAACATCATTGGAACTGTTAAAGATAAATAATACAAGAATAAGCTTTCAAGTATAATTTCAGGTAAGTATTCTTTGAGAGAATAGAAATCTTGACGAATGAGATAAAATCAGACCAGGGAAAACTATTCTCCATAAAGAGTTGGGAGGGCTGAAATTTAAAATGTGTGTGTAAGGGAGAGACAGAGAGAGATCCTAAACAACAGACACGCAGGTAGAAGCTTGATCTTCTGCCAGCATATCTGGATCTTACTCAAAGACTGCACAACTCATCTTTTCTCCACATCTGTTCTAAGTGGTATAAGAATCAATCTAATGTGAAGTTTAACAGCATAAAGTTCATGATTTTTTTAATGTTTCGTATTGCAGAATCTTAGTAATACTATTCATTAATACTTAACTTGTATGACAAGTGTTTGGTTATTTATTTTACATGTATAATATGTTTTACTATATAAAGAATATAGAAGATAATGGCAGCCATGTTTTTGGCTGCAAACATAAGTCCATGGAGTAGTAGTTCATTTCCTTGATTCACCTGCCAACCTTTTGCAGTTTATTAAATAACCGTTACTTCTAAAATGATACCTATTAAAGGGATAATAACAAAAACATATTTGTGGCTTTTGAGTAAAAAGTCCAATTTCTGTTTTGCAGTATCAGCTCTTTCTCCCTGGAATGAGAATATTCTGAGACAGTTTGCTGAAGAAAGCTTGGCAGGTAAGTGAAGAAAGTTGCTTAGGTTTGGACAAAATTTTCTAACCACACAGATTCCTTAGTTCAAGAGCAGGAAATTAATCAATCTGTTATGCATTCCTGGCCTACAGATCAAGCCACCTTATATTAAACAACTGGTGGCAGCTTTCCTTATCACCATGGGGGGGAAAATGCTGCTGACAGAGAAAGGGATAAATTTCATCTATGCTTTCCAGAACCATAAAAATCAAACAAATGAATGTCCTGTGCAGTTTGCTAACTGGAAGTAAGACATGCTTTATACAACTGAATAGTTCAAGTATCAGTCAGTCCTACTTCTAGACAGAATCAAATTTAAATCTCATGTGACCATTAAACTGAGCATCCTTTGCCACTCAATGCAGTTTCACGTTGCTCTTTAACTATAGTGTGCTTTAAACATAAGTTATTCACTGCCTTAGGCTACCATATGTGGGCTGCCAAAATCCTGACAACCCATTTGGCAACAAAGATTTAGTGCTTTGTTAGACATCACTAAACCTCAATTGGCTGGGTTCATTAACATCATTTGCCCCCAAACCATGACTTGCATGCTACAACGGTTGGATTCCCATCAGATATTTTGCTTAGCACAACCAGGGAAGCCAGTTATATCAGTCACAGTGACCTCAAAAAAGATATAAACATTAAGTGGAAAGAGTGCTATGGAAATAGTTATATATAACATAATAGATTGCTGTAACATCTAGGTCAGTGTTCCTCAATCCATATGTGAACTTCAAATCTCAGAATTCCCCAGCTAAGCATGGATAGGCTTCAATTCACAATTCCACTTCAACATGATGGATGAGAAATTCTGGCAGTTGGGAAACTCTGACAGAGGCAGCCCATTTGACTCTGTAGTTCTATGATAAGAGCTAACACATGATCAGAGTTGGAAGGGACCTTGTGGGTCATCTAGTCCAACCCCCCCCCCCCCAAGTAGGAGACCCTACACCATTTTTGACAGATGGGAGTCCAACCTCTTCTTGAAAGTATCAAGTGATGGCGCTCCCACAACTTCCAAGGGAAAGTTGATTGATTGTTGGTTGATTGTTCTCATTGTCAGAAAGTTTCTCCTTATTTCCAGGTTAAATCTCTCCTTGTTCAGTTTCCATCCATCTGGCCTTCGGTTGCTTTAGAAAATAGCTTGGCCCCTTTCTCTCTATGGCAGCCCCTCAAATATGGGAAAGTCATTTCCCACTCCACCAACAAACTTTTAACCAAGGTTGGGTTTAGTCCTCAAAAAGTCACCAAACCTCTGCAACAAACCAGCATAGCTCTTCTTCTGGACAATCATGCAGGTTAAGCTTAGGAACCACCACTACCACCTCGCATCTCTCCACACGCTCCTGCCCTGGGAGTCGGCAGCAATCTCTGGAGAGCCCCAGAGACACCCCCCCCGCACAATTGTTTTTTGCAACTTAGTAAACCGTGCACAGGGATCCTGGGGATGGGGGTTGCTGCCCCTCCCACCCCCACTCCCAGCCCAAGACCTCTTCTCGCGCTCATCCATGCCCAAAGGAAACCCACCGCCATTTTGCAAAGCAATGCCCAGGGACTCCTCTCGGCGTTTGGAGCGGGTGGCGATGGTGGGTGAAGGGGGCGGGGGGGAAGCAGTTCTATTGCAAGGACGCCTCCCACGAGCGGGGCCTCGCGCAAGGATCGCGCGTTTTCTCCCTCCTCTAGGATAAGGCGCCTAGCGCCCGTGGCGGAACTCCAGCGCTGGGGGTAACGGGGGAAGCCCGGAAGGATCGAATGTGCCGGACCGCGGGGGGCGGAGACAGGCGGTTGCTAGGGCGCCCTAGCAACGCCAAGAGAAGGTCCGTTGGAAGGGCGGGGCGTTCTGCTGCAGTAGCAGCAGCCGCTGGGAGGGTTCGGGCGGGCGACGGCGAGAGGCGGCCGCTTTGTTTGGGCAATGGGCGAGCGGGGTCGCACGCTGACTCTGTCCACTTACAAGCTTTCTTCTTCCAAGGTCGGCGGCTGAAATCCGAGCCTGCCCTTCCCCTCTGCAGGGAGGGAGGACGGGCAACACGTGTTTGCGGTTCTCGAAAGAGGCTGGGAGGACATTAGAGCCAACGCTGCAATGCCCAGTTCCTGGGTTGCAAGGCTTGGTCCATACTTAGTTGGGGGTTATTGGGTTGTTGTTGTTTTTTTTTGCTTTTTTAATCTATTTGAATGGTGCACCTTAATGTACGGCTTGGCCTCCAGAGGTTGGGAGTGTGCTCCACCACTGGAGGTTTTTAAGAAGAGACTGGACAGCCATTTGGCCAGAATTAATATAGGGTCTCCTGTTAGTCCAGTGGGTTGGACTAGAAGACTTCCAAAGTCTCTTCGAACTCTTGTTATTATGTACTTCCGTTCTTCAGTAAAATGGCTTACCTTCAGAAGTTGTGGGTGCTCCATCTCTTTTTAAGAACAGCCATTTTTCTGTAATGGTACAGAGTTTCCTGCTTGAGCAGTGGGTTGGACTAGATGACCTCCAAGGCCCCTTCCAACGTTGTTATTCTGTATTCTGAAGGGAAGCTCTTAGATACATATCTTCCCTTTTCATGCTGAAGGCATGTTGCCATGTTTGGCTGGGGTACTGAGCTGGCATGTTTTCTAAGTCTGCAGATGACACTGAAACACACAAGGCAGAGGTTTCCAAACTCTTCAGTTCATTGTCCCCTTCATGAAAGTTTGATTGTTGGTCCCTCAAAACATTTACTTAATGGAAATAATTTAATAGATATTACTTTGCCACAAATAACAATAGGTCAATTCCTTGGATAGTCCAGTTGATGCTTGGAGGTCAATATTCGCCACTTTGGAGAAATACCAAAGAAACCATGTTTTCATTGCACCTCAAGACACATACTAACCAAGCTTAGTTTATGATACACGTACAGCCCCTAGATTTTTATCAGAATTAAATGAAGCATGTTGTGTGAACACATAGTGAGAGCGAGCTATCTCACCATTTGCTATGGGATGTTTATTTATTGCTCTGCCAGACTGAAACCTGAAGGAAAACCAAAAACCCAATTAGAAACAAGTTGTTTGTTGATACGAGGAATGAAAAGAGTTACAAAATGGTTCAGTGTAAATAATAGCATATCCCTCAAATGAATTTGGCCAACTGGCTGATTCTATTGAATCAGAGTGCTCAATTAGGATAGTAGTGGTGGTAAAAAGTCTTATGGATCAATTATTTAAAAAAATTGAGAATGATAAGTTTTTAAAATAACTGCTGACTTTTTTCCTGTTTCAGAAATAACAAAGATATGTCCTATGTTCACATATTTATCTTAGCCATGGTATGCTCAGTATGTTTGGGCAAAATGTCATTATGTACATTATGTACTATGCCAATGGTTATGCTCAGTTATACTTCAGTCTTTGATGGCATACATGAACATAACCACATCAAAATTCATCAAAGTGGCAAAGGCGATGTTTTGATCTTTAGTCTCCATTTCTGAAATTGCTAGCAGCATATAATATTTCAGTAAAAACAAGTGGATTTCCCCCCAACAAGTCAGAAAAAAACCCAGGATTTGAGATACAAGGGCCTTGTTTACATATAATATTAAGCCAGAATTCTTTAAACTGGTTTGTTGAATAACCATAATGCCCTAATAGTCTGTATGTATGTAAGTTTTACAAGAAACAATAAGATAGCTGACCATTTCATATGAATCAGATCAGAATAGTCCACATATTTTAAATTTTATTGCTTTGATCATAATATTTCTTCAGAGTATTAGATTAGCAAAACCCAATTTGCAGGCTTACTAGCACTGAAAGGAGTAACTTTTATTGTATAACAAGGTCTGCTTTATTTTATAAGACGTGTATCTTTGTGTGTTTATAGGAAACTCTAAAACTTCCTGGTACATTTGATGAATTTTTGACCTGTTTCAATTTGGTATGTACGTTTATGGAATAATTTTCATAGCACTTTGAATGCATGGGAAATGGTATGAAAATTTCATTACAAGTAATAACAATAAACACCAGGAATGGTGATTGTGCAGTTTGAAACATCTAGAGGTCTTTAGATCCCCCTGTTATAGATTAATCATCAGAGCTCAGCAAAGAAATAATAGATGCAGGTATGATTAATGCTGGACAGTTTATCATGGAACTTCCGAAGGTAATTAGAAATGCTATGTGAGAGAAAAAGGCAATTCGTCAATGCTGTGAGATACCAAAAAAATAGGGTTGAACAAGTATAATATGAATTGCAGAATCAATACATCTCTTTATTTTTGCTATCAGCAATGGGGAAACATCACTTGATAAAATTTTCCAGTATACAGGTAGTCCTCGACTTACAACCACAGTTGAGCCCAACATTTCTGTTGCTGAGCAAGACATTTGTTAAGTGAGTTTTGCCCCATTTTACAATCTTTCTTGCCACACAGTTGTTAAGTGAATCACTGCAGTGCTTTAGTTGGTAATACGGTTGTTAAGTGAATCTGGCTTCTCCACTGACTTTGCCTGCCGCAAATTTGCAAAAAGTGATCATGTGACCCCAGAACACTGCAACCATCATGAGTCAGTTGCCAACAGCTGGATTTTGATCACATGACCATGGGGATACTGCAATGGTCCTAAGTGTAAAAACTGGCCATAAGTCCCTTTTTCCCAGTGCCATTGTAACTTTAGACCAGGGGTCTTCAAACTTGACAGCTTTAAGACTTGTGCACTTCAACTCCCAGAATTCCTCCTCCAGTCATGTTAACTCGGGAATTTATTTTATTTATTTATTTATTTATTTTATTTGATTTGTCAATCGCTTACAAGATAATAGACATAAGTATAAACATGAGTAAGAATACAGGAAATAGGTACGAATAAATGGGGACAATAGGATAGGGATGGTAGGCACGATGGTGCACTTATGCACGCCCCTTACAGACCTCTTAGGAATGGGGTGAGGTCAATAGTGGTTAGTTTGAGGTTAAAGGAGTGGGTGTTAGAGGATGTAACAACAGAGTCAGGTAGTGCATTCCAGGCATTGACCACTCTGTTGCTGAAGTTGTACTTTCTGCAAGTTTGAAGCGGTTTACATTGAGTTTGTATCTGTTGTATGCTCTTGTATTGTTGCGGTTGAAGCAGAAGTAGTCATTGACTGGTAGGACATTGTAGCAGATAATTTTGTGTACTACGCTTAAGTCCAACCATAGGCGACGTAGTTCAAGGTTGTCCAAGCCCAAAATCTCAAGCCTGGTAGTGTAGGGTATTTTGTTGTGAGCAGAGGAGTGTAGTACTCTTCTCGTGAAATACTTCTGGACTCGCTCGATTGTATTAATGTCTAATATGCAGTGCGGATTGCAGACTGATGAGCTGTATTTGAGTATTGATCTGGCAAAAGTTTTGTATGCTCTAATTAGCAATTCGATATTTTCGGAGGAGAAGCTTTGTAAGATTAGATTTACAACTCTTAATGCCTTTTTGGTAATGCTGTTACAGTGAGCTCTGGTGCTTAGGTCATTTGATATGAGAACTCCAAGGTCCTTGACAGAGTGAGGATCATCAACGAGGTCATATCTGCCCAGTTTGTATTTGGTGTCCTGATTTTTTTTTTTTACCAATGTGTAGGACAAAGCATTTGTTGGTCGAGATTTGGAGTTGCCAGATGTTTGATCATTCAGACACATAATCAAGGCCTCTTTGAAGGATAGTAGCATTGTCAGTAGTGTTGAATAGTTTTACGTCATCCGCAAAGAGGATGCAGTTGCTTATAAAGTGATCACAGACGTCATTTATATAAAGTATAAAGAGTGTGGGTCTTAGAACTCTGCCTTGGGGGACACCGCTGTTAATTGGAGCAGGGTTTGATATAGCGCTCCCTATTTTTACTATTTGTCGCCTGTTTGACAGGAACGCAGCAATCAATTCTGGGAGTTGAAGTCCACAAATCTTAAGCTTGCCAAGTTTGAAGACCCTTGCTTTAGGCAGTCACTAAACGAAGGCTTGTAAGTCAAGGACTGCCTGTACTTCGTGGCTTCATGTATAAAACAGACATTAACATTAGTTCGGCTTAATAAGCCACGGTGGCGCAGTGGTTAGACTGCAGTGCTGCAGGCTACTTCTGCTGCCTGCTGGCTGCCTGCAATTTGGCAATTCAAATCTTACTTGGGTCAAGGGGGACTCAGCCTTCCATCCTTCCAACGTCAGTAAAACAAGGAAGGGGGCAAGAGGCTGACTCTGTAAACCGCTTAGAGATATATAAGTCTAAGTGCTATTGCTATTAACATTTATTTTATAACTCCTGTTCTTTGCAGGATGATTGGCCCAAAACCCCATACTTGCCAGATGTAAATCCTTATCCCTTAGTTTCCCGGATGAAAAGTGACTATCCTGTAGATACTGTTGCCCAGTATCTTTATGATAATGCACCGATGCCCTATGAAATTATTTCCAGATTGGAAAAAAGAATAGATGAGTGCAAACTACAAGTCCAGGAGCATGCTAAACATGTATTTACACTGGAATCAGAAAAAGATGAGCAGCCAGGAGAAGGTAATTCTGTCTCTTAGCTAATAAGTCCATTTTTGGGGGGTGGGGGAAATCAATATCAGTTAATTTTAGAACTTATAATAACAAGAGTCGGAAGGGGTTTTGGAGGTCATCTAGTCCAACTCCCTGCTCAAGCAGTTCAGATAAATAGCTGTCCAGTTTTATAGTCCCAAAATTGCATTGTCAAAAGGCAACTGGACTTTGGTTTTCCTTGAAGATGTTTCACTTCTCACTCAAGAAGCTTCTTCAGTTCCGACTGAAGGCTGGAGAATGGAAGGGTTTATATTTCCTTGCAGTCATCTGGTCATTAGCGCTCTTTCTGAGAGTCATTGAAGCCACTTGGAAGTTTATCTGTGCCCTCAGGGTCACCTGAATAGTGCAAATGGGTGTGAAACCTTCTGAAGCTTCTTGGATGAACTGCTGAAGCCTCTTGGATGAGAAGAAAAATGTCTTCAAGGAAAAACAAAGTCCAGTGGCTTTTTGAAAAAGCACCTTTGGAACAACCACAACCTGGATGACTGAGAACATTCATAGATACTGCAAAATCCCCCTTCCTTCCTCACCCCACTAACCTGCTTTCCAGCTC